CCTTTTAAAAAAGTATGGTTTTTATGCGGTTTATTGATCGAGCAGAGGAAAATTGAGTGGAGAAATCCATTTCAAAAGAACGACAGTGGGTGAGGAAATTCTTGGTACACGATAAGACAGTAATTTGAGTGATTTTTTTAACCAAAAGTTTCCAGTGCCTCGGCATGCAGTCCAAATGGGAATGTGAAGAGTGGGTTCCATTCGTGCTGATTGGAGATGACATCACGCTTGACTCTGGTAGTGAGGGTAAGTTTTATTTGGAGAAATTAGTTTGTTGCATCGATATATATCAGATTAGAAGGCTTTTTGTAGCACGGTGAAGGGAGTCTTTTATCAGGAGAGTGAAATAGTGGGAAAAAAGGTGAAGTAAAGAAAACCAAAATTTTTTAGAGCAGCTTTCTTTTGAATGTTGATAGTGTTCCGAGATTGCAAAAGGTTTTTTTCTAGTATGTTCCAGAATTTGTCTGGGAAACTCTTGTTATCCTTTCAATCAATCACGAGATCGTTTACATAAATTTAATATGAGTCCTCGTTGCCTACCTGGCGATGTTGACACCGGCTAGTTCAGATCGGCTGTGGCGATTTCTCTGTTTTTTGTTTCACGATACTCAATCGCAAAGTTTTCCTATGACTGTAGAACGAATGAGGGTGTTTCAATTCGGTGAATTTAATTGCTTTCGTAAATCCCTGGCGCTAAACATCAAGATCTATTTGCAGAGCAAGTAAAGCCTTTCATTTGATGGTTGGGAAGCTCTGAAACAGAGACAAGGCCGGAATTTTTCATGTTAATCCTGATTCAGTAAGTTTAAATTTTCCACAATGATACCCACCATGCACGTACTTTGACTATACTTTGCTACTTTTTTAGCTCTTATTCACACTTACGCCATTACTGTTGGCACCTAGTCAATTACTTGAAAGGCTAAGGAGTGCTTTTCTGACAAAGATTCTTTAGGAGTAATTTACTGGAGGAGTTTCTTATTTTTTGTAGACCCTTCCAAGGAAAGTCAACAAAACGGAGCAGCGTAAACAACCAAGACGGATGTGTTTGCTTAGCGATGATGTGGAACGAGAGGAAGACCTATTACTTATTAATAGTTGAACGATACTATAAAGATATGTAAATGTGTTAATCAATTGTGGTAATTTGTTAGAAATTTTTAAACTGAATTCTAAAATTCAATCTATGCAGAAAGATATGTAAGGCACTGTTATACACTGCACATTAAGGATTTTATATTTTCCAGCATAAGACCAGGTATTTACCGTACCCTAATGAAC